GCTGTCAGCACACCGTTCACCTTGGGGAAGGAGGAAGAAGTCAAACGGGTCACTGGAGGTGTTACGGCCCCAGCTCTGGCCCTCTGCCTCCCTCTTCCTCACCCTACCGGGGGCTGGGAGACGCCAAGGCCTTCCTCCGATAGTTGGATCGTCATCGGATACAGTGTGGACATTTGTTCTGGCCCAGGTCTTGCGGAATGAAACCTCACTTTACTCTTTCTAATCTTCTCCCTTGATCTCTATCTCCCTCCCCTGTCTCTGTCTCTCTGTCTCTCTGTCTCTCTCTCCCTCTGTCTTCACCTAAGTCTCTATTATGTGGTCGTCTCTCTCTCTCTCTCTCTTTCTGTCTGTCTCTCCCTCCTCTTCCCTTCCTCCCTCCTTCCCTCATTCTCTGTGTCTCTTCCACTCACTCACCATCATTTATTCACTGCCTACTCTGTTCCCTCCCTCCCTGTCTGTCTGTCTGTGAGCTACCATTAAGCTCTGTCTCCATTTCCCTGGGTAGAAAGGACAGCCCATCTCTCTCCTGTGATCTCACTATACATATATATGTATATATTTTTTTTGGGGGGGGGGATGGATATTCGCTCTGTCGTCCAGGCTGAAGTACAGTGTCAAAATCTTGGCTCTTGCAACCTCTGCCTCCCAGGCTCAAGTGATTCTCTTGCCTCGGCCTCCAGAGTAGCTGGGATTACAGTAGCACCACCACACCCAGCTAATTTTTGTATTTTTAGTAGAGATGAGGGTTTCACCATATTGGCCAGGCTGGTCTTGAACTACTGACCTCAGGTGATCGACCCGCCGTGGCCTCCCAGAGTGCTGGGATAACAGGTGTGAGCCCCCGTGCCCATCCCCATCTCCCTATATTTCTCTCCATGTCCTGGTCTCTGGGCCTCTCACTTGTTCCCTCACAGACACTCAAACCAGTGTTCACCTGGACTAGACTCTGAGCTCAGCATGTGACATGCACCACCTTGCTGTGGGACAGGCCCTGATATGATGCCCACTTCACAGATGAGGAAACTGAGGCCTACCAAGTGAGCTGCCCAGCATCACCTAGCTCATAAGGAGGAGAGGCTGGATTCAAACCCAGATCTGTAAAAAAGGGAAATGCTGAGGTCCTAGGTTAAAGCCCTTAGCAAGGGGCTAGGCTTGTCTAATTGCCAGGAACGGGGTGATATTTTTGCTGAAATTATTCTTTTTGTTGACATTTTGTTTCAGGCCTAGCTGAAGACAAAGAGCCTTGAGTTGCTAACTGTGGTCATCAGGATCCCTCCTGTCCTCCCGGGGACCTCAGGGGACCATCCTGCCACACATACCCGGACTTTGCCGAACTCGCCCTTGTGGATGGAGATGTTGGTGCCCAGGGCAGCCACAGTGACGACTCTCACATAGGACACAGCAGGGTTGCCCCGGTTCTCGTTCTTGGTGG